AATGTTAAGAAGTATTTTAAGCTATCTTTGTCTGCCATACTTTCCCACTTGTCTTCTCCTTGTCTACCATGCTTTTTATTAGAGATTCTAAACCGGTGATGTTCTAATAGTTGTTCATTGAAAGATAAGCACATTAACATAATATTTAACGTGGTTCAGTGAAATGCCTACATCCATGGGAGAGATCCATATTATTAGAAATAAAGAAAAGATACAATATAAATGCATGGAGAAGAAGAAACACATCCACTCTACTCAACTCCTAACTCTCATTGTTGCACTTGCAGCTGCTGTAATGGTAGCAAGCTCTTTTCTTCACTCTTGTTCCTCTCTTTCATTTTGCTTTTAAATAATGCCTCTATTTATAGGCAACAATGACAAACAAGAGGCCATAAATCATGACACTAATAGTTGACAAAAGTCATGAGACATAGCACAAATGGTAGCACTAATTAAGCTTCCACTAAATGGAAGTGGGGTCTTGCTACACTAATGGTAATTTCCTAACAATCATCCCCTTTGTCATTTGAATGGACAATTGTCCTCTTACTTCTTCACCACAAGCTTGCATCCAGTAGCTTTTCAAGTTTACCATTCTCAGAGCATATTCGACTAATTTTACAAGTACTTGCCAAACCTTTCAATCTCCAGAGTCACCAAAACACACCCTTACTCATATCAAAAGATCAATTCAACCAGATGATTTGTCATATCTTATCTGAAGAGTGTTAACGCTTGTTTCTGGAACAACATTTCTCTTCAAGCATATCAACCATACTCAGTCCGGAATTATTTTTCAAGACTCACACCAAGGTTTATAACACCCCCTCAAACGAATATTTTCAAGTGCAACAATCATTGAGTATTTTAATATAATCGCGAACTCACCACTTTTTCAAGAGTCTACTCCAATATAATCGCGAGCTCACCACTTTTCCAAGAGTCTACTCATCCCGAAGTTGTGTCTGCCCTCTGTTCCACTCTAGGAACCACACCTTACTTCTCCATGAGTCTCTCACTCTTAGTCTCAAGAGTCCTGATAACTCTCCACCTTTAACCATGAGGGCAGCCGATCAAAGGTTGATCCATATCTATCTCCATACTCTGAGTATTACAATGTCATTACCGAGCTCACCACCTTGACAAGAGTTAACTTGTTCTAGGAACCTGTGCATGCCCTTTGCTCCTACATAGTAATCACATCTTAATGCTCCACAAGTCATTCACTTATTATCCAAGGCAAATGTCTTCTAGCTCATTGATATTTAGCAGAGGGGCAATATCCAACAAAGTCAATTTGACATTGCTCTCTCCATACTCATCATAGCCACTTCATTGGCTATACACATGTTCACTCATATCTAGTCATCACATTGGTTTTGAGGCTTTTTGTAATTGGACTCCTATCATGGCCCTCACACCTTCTCTTGAGGTGTCTCCACTCGTCATCATGCTGTAATTTTTACTTGGGCTCATATCATGGCCCACACACCTTCCTCTGAGGTGTCTCCACTCATCATGAAGCAATCTCATCCTCCTTCATTGGAGATGACTCAAGTGACTTCAAGATTCTCTACCACCATGTGGATTTGGAAGAGATCACTACCACTGATCACATAGAAAGAAAGTTGCGGTACACTCCTCGCAATCCTCCATCTCGATTTTTATGTTTGGAGCTTCTATGCCTTTTTGCTTGATAGCTCTACCCACACCAACTCTCTTTTGGTGTCTTCGCCTTTCTTCATAGGCGGTCGTACCCCCTTAATTAAGTGCTTCTATAACAACTTATCTTTCTATCATTGCATGCATTAGCAAGGTTCTCGCTTGTTGTCTTCACCAAGAGCACAAAAGACTTCTTGTTGTACAACTTTTCACACAGTGTCTCTACTCTAACCTTCATCTAAAAACTCGTCTTCTCCTTGCACCTATTGTCTTATTACAGTATTTCGTTGGATCTTACGGGTACTGCACCATCTTCGTGTGCCCTCGTGCAATATCTATTCTCCAGATTTCTCCCTATTCTTTGCTCATATTTGATAACAGCTCATCCTGTCATGACACTTATCCAAATCAAAATAGAATTTGATAACAGCTCATCTTGTCATGACACTTATCCAAATCAAAATAGAGTGCTAATCTTTAACCCCTTACTGTATTTCTCTTTCATTATCTGGTTCTTTATCAATTCTCCCCTCTAGAAATCATAGTCACTGAATCTACATTCTTTGAAGAAATCACCACTCCATCAAATCCTTGATCATACAAAATCCAATTGTTCCTTTGTGTTGTCATCCTGCTAGTCTTCAATAATTTCATTAAAAACTATTACATATATGAAAATAATATCGTATGAATAATTCTTCAACTAAGCAAGTTTTCCAGAAAGATTGGAGGGGTCACAACTATCTCGCTTAAAAACCAATCTCCTAGACAGAACTTCTTAGGCCATATATATTCATCGTACTGCTTTCGTATATACAACCATTTACTAGCTTTGTCGCAACTTTTCTTTATAAGTGATCTAGGGTATCCTAGTTTTATATGTGATTTTTAAATATCTGGCGAGACTACCGAGGCTTAGATTCATCAAGATTGGTCTTCATCAATTTCCACTCTCCACCTCAAAGTATCCACATGATCGGATGTCCAGAGCGTTCTAATTTTGTCTTCCTTCAAGACAACTAAAAAATCTCCCCACTTAGCAGTTTAGCAAATGTAATTGGGTAAACATGTGTGATTTCTTCTTTTTTATCTTCACCGACCACCATGATGACTTTCAGATGCCTCCTAGTCAGGCAATCTCTCTTTAATGATTCACCACCACCACTTTCAGCCTAAATCACAATGATCGGACCATACCATTGCATCCGAAATGATCAAATTAGCTGGAAACAAGTTTGGAATCATCCAAATCGCATTTCAGACGGTTAAGATTTGATCAAAACAATTATGGCCTAATAAGCGGCCCAGATTCAATCTCAGATCCAGTTGCACATAGAACAAGCCACACTAGATCCTATCCCTCGACTCGCGGGTCGGCTCAAACTCAACTCAACTCGCAACTGACGACATGGCAGGTGGGTCCTGGTGTGTTGACGTGTCGGTTGACTAATCACTGACATGGCATACCAACTATACAGGCTAGAGCCATGATTACATCATGATGGCGTCATCCTTATCCAGGCCAGCCATGTGGGTCAAATCGTCTAGTTTTCAGGTCGAGTTAGTCCATCCTGACAAAGAAGACGCGTTGGACACATTGGCGTGCTTGGGCAGTCTCTTTGTTGGCGCGTGTGAGCATGTGCAGCCATGTCTCACTTTAGAATTTTGTATAGTTTTTACCAGTGTGCTCATCTTTATCTCCTTTACACGATAGTATAGTCAAAACATAATTTTGACAACTTTCATTTTTGAGCAAAAATCAAACGTCCACTTTAAACCATATGCTCTGATACTAATTGTCGGGTATTCTAAAATGGTGATGTTCTGATAGTTGCTCGTTGGAGGTTAAACACACTGACACAATATTTAATGTGATTCGGCAAATCACCTACATCCACATAAGAGGTTCATATTATTAAAGATAGAGAAATGATACAGTACAAATACATGAAGGAGAAGGATCATATTCACTCTACTCAACTCCCAACTCTCATTGCTGCACTTGCAGCTGCTGCCATTGCAGCCCTTCTCTCTTCTTCACTCTTGTTCTATTCTCTCTCATTTTGCTCTTAAATAATACATTTATTTATAGATAGTAATGACAGATAAGGAATTATAAATCATGGTACTAATGGTGAACAAAAGCTATGAAACATGGCACAAATTGTGGCATTAATTAAACTTCCACTAAGTGAAAGTAGAGTCTTGCCACACTGATAGCAATTTCCTAACACTTTTTCATTATCTTCTTCTCACTCTCGTATGCCCTAATACTTTTTCATTATCTTCTTCTCACTCTCGTATGCATCAGTGTTCTCTTTGCAATTTCTCTCATTTTTCATCTCTGGTATTCTTGTTAACCAAGATGTTAAAATAATCTGGGATCAAATTAATTGGACCTGTATCTAAAGGCAAGCTAATAAGAATCACTATTGTCGCTGAATCTGGTTTCTTGTGTTAGATTCTCGTATCTAGCTGGGGTACAACTTCTATACTCTTGAAAGCCATATGTAACAGTACCAGCAGGTGTTAAACATGAACAAATAAAACGCCTCGTACTTTTGTCATGTATCAAATGCCAAACAGCTTCAGTTTCTAATTCAAATGGAAGGAAAAAAAAGTTTTGCTCTACTAATAAGCTGACTACAAAGTCTTGCATAATAATTATCAACTATCTGCATGCTTCAGCATGAAAAAGCTAAAAAAAGAAGACAGAAAAACTGGGGTGAGGAATTAACAACAAATCACAAAAACTCCCCTAAGATGATTTTCTCTAAATAAGTGCGCCAAAAGTTATCCAACTGTCCATACACTAGCTCACTTGCTATCACAGTCACAAGGGAGTTCTGATATAAAAAGAAATTCCCTATACTCTCTTACGAAGATCCAACAAAACAGGATAGTTAGTAGAGAACCTGCCCAATGGGACCCATTTTTAGTAGATTCTGGAATTGCTCTTACATGATCCTTAAGGTAAAGCTCCCTTCTGACAGCTTTTGCAGAAGGTCGGGCTGTTGATCCATAGGAACAACCTCCTGAATTTTGTCCATGAATCCAGACCAGTCACCCATACCAAGCTGGAAGATCATAACAATGCAAACACTATGAGAATCAAAAACATCCACATAAATTTCAGAGGTCAGAACAACATCAAAGCAAAGGCGAGAATAACTAGAAGGCGACTAACAAAAGGTTTAACATCAAAGACTTCAAACTCGTCCACATGCTCTCCGGTACCAACAAAAAATGACAGGATTTTTCGTCGCTGCAACCCTGTAAATGGAATGTAGACCACAAATCAATATAAATGCTTAAAAAAAAGGAAGCTTTGGTACAGTAGAGCAACCGCTAGAATACTCACGCACTAAGCGTGCCACCGCCCTTTGCATGACCATCCATTTTGATAACAATCACAGCTCCAACAGCAACACTTTGCTTAAAAGCTTGAGCTTGATCAAATGCAACTTGACCGATACTGCTATCCGTAACAAGTATAGCAAGTTCGGGTTTCTTGAAGACACAAAACGAAAAAGATTCAGATTTTACTGCAATAACAATCAACAATTAATAATAAAAACAACGAAGCATGCAAAACCAATAATAAAAGAATAACATACCGTTGCTTCAGAAACTTGACGGATTTCTTCAAAAAGTGCAGCTTCCTGTTTATGCTGTCCACTCGTATCAACAATTATAAGATCACAATTTTCCTTCTTAAATCTTTCCACACCTTCCACAGCAATTCTCACAGGATCTGATTCCATATAACTGTATCAACAACAAGAAGCAAATAATTGATTGATGGAAAACCCATTATTTATTCTCCTCCGCTTAAAATCACTACCTTCCATATAATGGAATTTTAGCTTTAGTTGCATTCTGCTTTAACTGATCAAACGCACCAGCTCTAAACGTATCAGCGCAAACCAGCACAGGTTGCCACCCAACGACTTTATTGATATTAGCTTGCATGTCGCGAACAAGTTTGAATTGAACACCAGATTGAAGAAGAGCGCAAGTGATCTCATTTAAGCAATCGTTTAATGCTTTTTCGTCGATGATTGTTGCATTGCTCATTTGCTGGATTGCTTGGGATATGCTTCCTCCTAACCCACATCATTTTTGTTTTCTTCGGGAGAGAGAAGGATTAAGTGATTATTAGGATTTGTGTTTGGTGAATTTCAGAGAACGAAAGGGTGTGAAAAGAGTTTCTGTTTTATTGAAAGACAAATTTGTACAGTTCTATACCGTGCACACCACAGTGTTTTTCTATTTTTCTACTTATTACTTATAATTAAAAGTGAGTGGGGATGAAAATTGCGGAGCTGTACTATTTATCACTCGTGTTTTCTGGTGGATTCATTGTTTATTTTTTTATTATAAATTTAAGAGAAAAACTTATAAAAATAATAATATATAATTATATCGTTTATTCTTCCATATTTTACTATAAATAATATTATTAGATTTCTTATAAATTTAAAAAAAATACTAAACTTAATTGAGTTTATAATTCGAGTTTGCTTATGGGGTAAACTTTATATAGATATATTGTTCATTCATCCAAATTTTACTATAAACAACACTAATTATTATTATTTTAAGATTTTATTATAAATTTTAAAAAAAAATATGTAAAATACAATGCAGCCTCATTGTTAATATTGTTTACTTTTTCATTTAGGGTTGTTATAAATTTAAAGAAAAAGTATTAAATTCAATTGAGTTGATAATCTTGGTTCTTCTTACAAGTTTTATCATGGACAATATTGTTCACTTTCCTTTTGTTTTAAAAAAATATTTTTTTGTTTTTTTTAAATTAATCTTAATCTTATTTTTATTTGTATTTAAATTAATATATTTTTCTTTTATGATATTTAGAAAGCCTATTTAAAATAATAATTATTTTTTAATTATATATTTAATTCTTTAAGAGGTTTTCTAATTAATCTATATTTTTCTAATCTTTTGTATAAATAAACTTTATTTTTGAAAATAAAAAAGTTTATTTTCAAGTAATATTTCTAATATATGTAGGCTTATATATCATTTTTTTTATTTTATTTAGTTAATTTAGTATGTGTCTATTATTATTATCTCCTTTTTTTTTATTCAATTAATTTAGTATGTGTCTATTATTATTATCATTTAATTCAATAAAAAATTATTTTAATTAATAAATTTAGCATCATAATCACGTAAATTTCATGTATTGTTAAATTAAATATCTTGATTTATACTTGTTTCGTGATTTTTTTATTTTTTATTTTTAATCATTGTTTATGATTTTTTAAAATTTATTAACTCACATATTTTTTAATTTATTTAATTATATTATGTATATTTTTTTTATTTTCACTTAAATTTGTTTTAAATACCAAAAAAAAATAAAAAGTCTATATGTAATTTTTTTGTTAAGAAAAAAATATTTTACCCGTGACAAAACTAGGGTTAAATATCTAGTGGATATTATTATTTGGTGTGTGGGTTCATCTATGGTATCTTTTTTTCTTTTCTTGTTTTATTATTTGAATATGATTATCCAATTTTTTATTTAAAAATTTTTTTATAGTTAAATACATGAATATAAAGGAGTCGATGGATCCATAAATGATAACAACCGAGGGCAAAAATAAAAAATGTGGAGACATAATTTATTTTGTATAATTCGTTTTATAAAAAATAAATAAAAATATGATAAAAAAATATTACTCTAGATTTGTGAGAGGTGGTGTGATGTAGAAAACACGTGTGGGGGAGAACACTTCAACTAAAAGAAAAGGGCACACTTTTTGATAAAGAAAACACGTGTGGGGGAGAACACTTTAACTATGTACGGTGTAACCCCACTCGCATCTCACATTAGACTCGCACGTTGATTTTTTTTAATTTTGATTGTCAACTTTTTTATTTAGATGAATTTATCATTTTGTGACGAATTGAAGGTCAATTGTTTCAGATTCGTAAACTAATGACAAAATTAAAAGAAAGGAGATCAAGCTGAGGAAATCGCAATTTTCGGATTGGAGCAAAAAGTATTTTTTAAATGATTAACTTTCAGCGCCTGATATTTAAAAAATCCAATATTAATCTAAAACTTTATTATTATTTTTCTCAATCATATGTTTGAGATAGAAAAAAAAGGTGGAATCAGATGAAAAGGAGAATACTCAAGTTAACACCGGTCACAATCATGAAAAAAAAACAATTTCAATGCTAATAAGTTAAATTTTATAAAAAGAGTTTTTATTAGGTGTTATTTGTCTTTTTTGTTGTAGGATAATAGATTCAAACTTGAAAATTTTTTATTTATTTTCAAGTTGATTTTGTGTTATTGTACCTTTTGTTTTTTTGGTTATTCAAGGTCACTAATGGATTTAGTAAAGTGCATAAGGTGATTTTACAGGTATTTTTAAAATTTAACAATTTTTTAATGTTTTTTTAATAAAACATGATTTTGATTCTTTCTTGGTTAATGAATAAGATTTCAAAAATATTCTGATTTCAGGAGGTATTATTTTTTTGTGTAGCACTGCTTCTTCTTCTTTTTAGTTTTATTCAATCAATTCAATTTCCCATGTGTGTCTTTTTTTATTTCCATTTTCTTAAATAAAACATTGATTCCAATAAATTAGTTATTGAATACATTTAAATCTATGACCTATGTTTAAATATCATACATTTACATTTATATTTATTTCTTAACTTTTTAATTTATTTGGTTAAATATAATATAGTTTTTAATTGGTTTTCATGTAAAATGGTAACATTTGTTTAAAAATATAGTTTTTAACCTTGCATCATTTTTTATATATAATTTTATTCCATCGTTTTTATACATATATCTATTTTTTTTATCACATGACTAATTAAAAAACTGATTTCAATAAAAAAAAATATCAAACATAAATAGATAAATAATTTGTATTGTGATATTAAGTATATGAACTCATATCTATCTCTTTATTTTTTAGTTTAATATTTAATTATCATTAACAAGTATTTTCTTTTATTTACTGGTATAAATAATTTTTAATTTATCAAATTAAATGAATCTGTATCCTTTTTATTTATATTTATAATATTTTTTATGTAAAAAAGCATTAAGACAACCTATATATTTTATTTTTTATATTAAAAAATATTTATCCAACGAGTCATATGTATTTATGGTATAAACCGACATTGAAACAGCTACCAAGTTCTCCTTATGTTCTAGCCTATTTTCCCACTCAAGTCTCTAAAATTATGATTTCATCTTTAAATAAATGAATTATATCCAAATATTATGTTATACCCCCTTTCGTCATTCCTTGTTGTTTAAGTTAGAATGACTGTATCACGTGCACGGTACACACGTAGCATGTTTATTTTTTTAATGGAGATAATGTCCCTTGAATTAGGAAACCAATATATTTTGTGTACGCGAGGGTGATTAAATAATGTTTTTTTTATGTTGATAAAATGGGTTCTTTAATTTTAGTCAACCTTGTCATTTTTATTTTTCTTTAAAAGGGGTATTTGCCACTTTGATTCCACTTCAAGCTATTTGCATGCTTATAATTGTTGCAACAATTGAGAGGAAATTCGATGGAGCGATGCCACTTGATGGTATTCAGTAATAACTAATTACGTGGCCCGTCTTCTTCTGGGCTAGGTGTTTTTATTTTTTATAAAAAAATTACATATACAGATTTTTAAAGTATTTTTATAGTTAAAAGATTTAAATTTAAATAAAAATTTGTTAGCATATATATATATATATATATATATATAATTAAATAAATCGAGAACTATGTATATAAATAAAAAAAATAAAAAATCATCAATGACGTTTAAAAATAAAATTTGAAAAATCAAAAAACATATATAAATTAAAATATTTAATATCAAAAGATGAGATATTTATCCAACTGTATTTGCTAAATTTATCTATTAAAATAATTTTTTTATTGAAGAAAAACTAATAGAAATAGAAACACATATTAAATTGATTAGAAAAAAATCAAACAATGTTTTGTCTGATTGAGATAGATAATATGTCTTCTGATTTGCTAAAATTTCGACCATTACGGTAGTCAAAAAATTAAAAGTTAAGTGTTTTTACCTAAAAACCCTTTTCCCAATTTATTTTTTATCAAAAACACATATAAACACCGCAAGGACCGTAATAAACCTGTATATCACATTAAAAAATCGCTTTAAAAACTGAAATTAATCCAAAATCAAAAATCAACCCGAGCTTAGATTTTTTTTCTGCAAAATTTAAAGGTAAAAAAATACCTAATACAAACTTTCATCATCAATAAAACCGTTTAATACAAATAACATCTATTTTGGTGACCTAAATTAGTGTCAACAACACTTTTTTTTCTTTACCGCTGGAATCCAGCGACCTCTTTCTCTTCTTTTAATCAAAGACTAAAAAATAACAAAAAAAAACTTTGATGCCAACATTAAATTGGAAAAATACCAAGGTACTAAAATTAAACAATTCCATGATTTTTAATGTCAAGGGACCAAAATGCTTCTCCTGTAAAACTTATGGCATGCCACCTATGTTTGTTTTCCTTTTCATTTCGATCCTTTTTTTTAACCCTATCATTTCATAAGAATCAAAATTAATTATTCTTCAATTAGAACTAAATTGGCAAAAAAAGTTCGAGGACCATGTTGAAAAAATAAAAAATTTAACACAATCTATCCATAATAATATGCAAGAAGATGAATAATGAATCCTTGCATAATGAAAAATCCTTGCCTTTTAGAGTTATGCTTAATATTTTGTTTGTAAAGAATGTCATATCATTAGCTGTTCTACGAAAGAGAGAAGTGTTCTTTCTTTTCAATATTAAAATGGAAATAATGAGTTTTTATAGTCATTTGCAAAATATGATATCATAAAATGTTTTGTAGATCGGATGTGTTAATTAATATTAGTGTAAACAAAAATTTTATTTTTTATTTGTTGTTAGGAGTGCTCACAATTCAGTTTAGGTCGATATGAGCTAAAAAATCCAATCAAGTTAAGAAATGATATTTCTTAAGAATACGACTTGGAACCGAATTGGACTGAA